TGAGGAGAGGCTGAGGGAGCTGGGCCTGTTCAGCCTGGAGAAGAGAAGGCTGAGAGGGGATCTAATCAGTGTCTATAAATACCTCAAAGGAGGGAGTGATGAGGATGGTGCTGATCTCTTTTCAGTGGTGGCCAGCTACAGAACTAGAGGAAACAGCCACAAACTGAAGCATCAAAAGTTCCATGGGAACTTAAGGAGAAATTACTTAACAGTAAGGGTGACAGAGCGCTGGAACAGACTGCCCAGAGAGGTTGTGGAGTCTCCTTCTCTAGCCATCTTCAAAACCCGCTTGGATGCAGTCCTGTTCCACGTGCTCTAGGTGTCCCTGCGTGTGCAGGGGGGTTGGACTAGATGATCTCTAGAGGTCCCTTCCAACCTTAAGCATTCTATGATACTATGAAAAATGGATGAACAAAAGAAAAAGAAACAATACAGACTTCATTATTACAATGCAAAAGTCAACATTAGAATTAAAATAATTTTATTTCAATGTTCATGAACTGAAATAAAATATAATTTTTTAAACATACTTATAGAAATATATTGCTGGGCTGGCCCAATCACAAGTGTTCTTCGCTGTGAGGCAGCAGACTAACTAGACCCACTGCAGCGCTTCTGGGGTCAGTGGGGTTGCAAGTGCCACCTTGAAGGGTCCTTCAGCACACAGCAAACTGGTTTTGAAAACTAAGAAGAAACTCATCATCAACTCCTACCAAGACAGAAATCGAGCTTTACGCTGCGTCCTAAGAAAGATCTCCCTTGAAAAGGCTCTCCATTACTGAAGAGCAGTACAATGTTTGCATCTAAAACTAGCAGTACAAGGTTTTTCTCAAATATTTTCCTCTAGCCTACTCCCTTGTACAAAAATCTGCTAAGGAATTCACACATTTGAAGCCACAGAACTAAACAGACCCCTGAACAACATTGTTCTCAATACTCTTCTTGCTATGTGCTATTGCCTGCTCTATCAGCTTTAACATGCAGCGTATGCAGATGGTAAAAAGGCATCTCCCTTGACCACCTATTGCAAAAGTCACAGAAAGTATGACTGTTTTACAACTTAGTGCAATGCAGTTAAGTTACTCAATGTTATGGTATAGCAATACCATAAGATAAGCAATCATTCGTTAAAAATGCAGTTTCTGTACTAATCATTTGTCGTGCTTGTTATTAAGTCTCTTTCACTGGCAGCATGATAAGTAATAATAAATTTAAAGAGATAACGGAAAAAGGAGCTGATAGGAAGAAATAGCTCTTACTTTTTCCTAATCTGCTATCAGATTCAAGATTAACAAAACAAAGTAATTCTTCACGCAAGGCATTGGTTGAACTATGGACTCCCTGCCATATGATTTGGATGCTAAAGTGATCCAAGAGGACTGAAAAGCAATTCCTCTCCATTTTTATCTAGCAAGTTTTCAGATAAACCTTCTGACTCTGCAAACTGCTCAGAGTATGTGCTGGGAAAGCACCATTAGTTGCTTACCCTGTTTCTGCTCTTCCACGTGCATCTGCTTTTGGCCATTGAGACCAGATGCTGGGGCCAGAGGGACCTTTGGTCTAACTTGGTACAGTTGTTTCTAACAGGTATTCTAAAACACTCCATAAACTCACATTTAGACAAACTGAATTTACCACGTATTACTTACTTTGAAGGACTCAGATTTCTGATTTACAAATGACTTTCAAAAGAGAAAAGAAAAAATATTTGAGTTTTCTTCTGCTATGACTCAGTTGTATAAAACTGTATAGAAAAATGAGCATTATGTGCAGATGCAATGAAAAACAATATGCTTTATAAAAAACATTCTTATAAATGTACCAAGCATAAACAAAAGATGGTTTACAAATACATTTAACTGTTCTTCTAGTCATCATCAGAATCTGAATCATATTTCTTCCCTCTGATGGTCTTCTTATCCAACTTTGTAAAGCTGGTGCCAAATTTCTTTTGGCTTTGAAAAGGTGGCTCCATCAGGTTTCCACTGGAGAAACAGAGGAAGAGAGGTTGATTTAAAACATTTTTGCACAAAGACAGCAACATCTCCAATTAGCTGTTTCTCCAGAATAACATTATAAGAGGAAACAATCCCTACTCCGCTGTAAAATCCAAGCACACATTGCTCGGAAGTAGCATAGTGGGCAGCTGGTATAGCCCAGCCCGGGCAAAATGGTCTGGATAACGCCCCTTAAAACTGGAAGCATAAACAACACCTTGGAACAGACTCCCAGAAATTCTGAAAGCAAAGTCTGCCTCAAAGCAGCTATGGTAAAGATAACCATCTGCTGGCTTCAACAGTAACTGGGAAATTTCAAAGAGATTTTTGCATCAAAATGAGCTTGAAAAGAAGTATAAAAGAGCATAAGGATTCATAACAGAGGGGAGAGGCCCTGCAGCAGTCACACCTGAGCCTGGCGCTGCCAGAAGCCACCTCCCCCTTGCCCTGCTTAGGCCAGGGGCAGAGCCTCCCCTGTTGGCTGCTTGTGCACACTGGGCTCCAGGCAGCCCAGAGCAGCCTACGGTGATTCTTGCTCTGTGCTCTAACCTGCCACGTCAGTGCAAGGCTTCCTCAGCAGCACCAAGAAATGTTGCTATCTAGAACCCCTATCCAAGCTGTCCTTGCTCCTGTGCATTCATTATAGGACTGGGTGTGGATACTACCTCTTGTTTTGAGTTGTTTTATAATTTCACTTGAAGGTCAGCAGCTGCTAAACTAAATGGAACAAAGGTTTTGCTGCCTTTTTAAGGGATAATAATATTTCTTGTTTAGGTTTGAAAAATCAGGCAACAAAATAAATTGAGATAAAGAAGTTTAAGATAAAGCAAAGACATTCAAAGCAAAACAGCAAAATTAACAAATTAAGCACATTAAGTAGAAAAGCCTGGTGAGTGATCCTGCTGTAAAGTTAGTCTACCAAGATGGCAGTTGTTTTCCAATGCCTTATATCCTGTAATCTTGAATGAAGACATTTATTGTGACTATATATTGCAGTGCTATACAAATTATTTGGACTTCTCTGTATTTTTCACTGAAAAAGTCTTAAGTTACATCTTATTTTATATTACCTATACAAATATACCTCTTTTTCCCCCCCCCTATTTTTCACCAAAATGCTCAAACCTCACTGCACTGCAACTGTGGCACATAAGCATCTATACTTTACATAAGACAAATATCTTAGGACTGGCCACAAAAAGCAGTAGTTACTCTATATGCTTCTTGGCAAGGCCTATATTTATTTTTATTACTTTTTTTAAAAAAAAAAGAGTTTGTTACAATATCTCAAAATTTTGCCACAGTGATACTCTTCTTTCCCTTGCCAGAATACATGGATGAAATAACTGGATTAGATTCACATGCGTTTCAGGCAAACAACATATCACTCAAACCCACAAATTGTTACAGATTCCCCATTTGCAAGCATGTTCTCCTTAAACTCTATCTGAAAACATCTCAATTACCTGTAATTAATTATGTCTGCACAGCCTAATCTCCATTCTAAGGTCTCTGTAGTGAAGTCATCAGTATTGCCAAGATCAGTAAAGCCAACAATGTAGTCTTGTGTTTTTCCATCTTTTACTAGTGCTAGAGTGGGAATTACTTTGATGCGCAGTCTCTCGCACAAGAATGGAGATTTTTCAGCGTTTAGTTTCAAGAATTTTGTCTCAATATGCTTTTTTGCCAATACAGTCAAATGTCTATCCATTATTTGGCACCTGTGGGGGGAAAAAATTATATAAAATGTTAGAGTGAATAAGTTGAAGAGCATGTTTTAGAAAAAGTTAAAAGTAACAACAAACAGCTATTTCTTAATTGCAAAGGCCAAGTCTGAGGAACTAATATGACTGACAGAACATAGTTCCAAGAGAAATCGTGTTTCAATGGCAGCCAGGTTTAATGATCAGTAGGGTAAGAACATGGAGCATGTACAACTCCACCATCCATTTCTCTTGTTTCTCCTAATAATGCCCAGAGACACGTGAAAGCCTGTTTCTTGAGGCCTGTGTTTACTGCAATGTCACAAGAAACCCCCAAACTCTTTGACTTCTATTCCCCCTGCAGCTTTTTCTCTAGTTTTACTGTCTGGAAGCTGGAAAAGAAATTCTGCGTAATGAACTTCATCTTTGGAAAAACACTATGAATAGAGATATCTGCCTTCTTTTCTTTTTCAGCTACTACCTCCACAACAGAGATGCAGTAACTAGCTGTGCAAAACAAATTTGCACAGAGTGCTTCAGTGGTGCTACAAGCAACATGATTTCTCTTTCCTACCGCAACTGAGGGACCATAAAATTTACTGCTTAAAATACTTGTCGGATAGCACAGATCTGCAGACTCCTCATCTAGAATCTTCACTTTTTGGATCATCTCAAGTAATTTGTTTTAGCTGCATGAATTCTGCTACATGACTGTCTTTAACTCAAGAGGAGAACTAGAAAAATCAAAAAGCTGAAGTGGCAAGGATGAAAGTAACTCGATACTGTAGTCAGCAAACCCAAAGCACTAGTTGCAAGCTGGCAGCCACCTTACAAACAAGCCTGTTCTAACCATCCGTCCATTTATATAAACATAATCGGAAAAAAGGTTAGTCGAACACCTTAACTGCTTCAGATATTCCTAAAATTCAAAGTTGTAACAGAGAAACCATAAGGCTGAAATAGATGCATCATTGCATAATCTGGATTTGACCTCTCAATTTTTCACAACAAAGCTGTTTCACTTTACACCCCATAAACTAGAAGAGAACATGACACCTTGGAAAGAAAAATAGGACAACTGGTTCCTCCTTCAACAAACAGATTTGTATTGCAAGTGCTTTCTCACAGAAGATATTGAGATAAACCACTCAGGAACAGCCTTGCATACAGAACTTCTAAAAATCTTCCAAGGAAGTGGGAGATCTTATTTTAGGTTCCTGTTCTGAGTCAGGATGAGCATACTCAGATCCAGGTCTCTCACACTCTGGGACAAGGGCTGGAATGACAGTAGTGCAGGCACCAAGGGAAAGCAGCTGCAACTTGTATCCAGATTCTTTCCAAGTCAAAAGGTTACATTTTGAAGAGACCTGGAATATTTTTTTTGTATTTTGTTTTTCATTTGCCAGAAGTGCCCTGCATATTTTAAAGCTGGATCAACTGAAGTGATCTTCTGAAAGTCAATGCTTTGTTAAGTCACTGCTTTTTGCTAATAATTCCCCTCAAATCAGTAACAAAGCATATCCATCTCTTTGTTATTCTCATATTTTGGGAAAAAAACTTCAAAATTTATTAGCTAACAAACTTTGAAAGAGACTAATCATTATCAAGTCACATCTAGATTAATTGGAAGAAAGAAGAAAACAGCAGGTGCCACGGAGAGATATTTCAAAGTGAAGGTATATAAATAGATATATAAATCTCACAAACATACACAGACACACATATAATTCCCAAATATACAATTATTTATGTGCTAGATTTGAAAGAACCTCTCTGTATTTATAGATATCTAGAAAAAAAAATCTTGAGCATAATTTATTTACTATACCTGAAAGTTGTATCTCTGTAGAAATGGCAAACCACATTTTTACTTTCTTTAACTTCTTGGAAAAAGTCTCTCTCACTTGGGATTTCTCTGTATTCTCCATGTCCTTTTGAAAGCCACTCCTGATTGAACACATAAAAGCAAATAATTAGCAAGTTTTCTAGTGCTGCATCTGTCATGCAAGTTCTACTGCTTTAAAAACACATTATAAAGATTAAAAAAAATGTTCACATATATCTTCCATTCAAATAACAAATAAAATTTTCTTAAAAGAGAGAGAGAGAGAGTTGGCTTCAGTGGAAGGCCATTTATGCAGTAATATTGAGAAGGAGAAACAAAGAAACAAATTACTTCTTTCCCATTGCTTGTTTTCAAAACACACAGATTACACGAATGCCACTTTGGGATTGTCCCTTTCTCAACAAAGGGTGAGTAGAGAGCAGATCAGGTACAGAGAAAAGAGAGAGAGAGAGAGAGAGAGAGAGAGCGAGAGAGAGACTCTCTAAAATGCTTTCATACCTTCAAAGGACTCTGTCTATAATCAACACAGTCACAGTATATATTGAAATATATTTTGTCTCATTTTTCACTGCATGAAAAATTTAAGGAGAATAAAAGGCCTAACTACCTACAAAATACAATGCTTATCTATTAAAAGTGCACTAAAAATTTTCAGAAAATAATTCAAAAATACAAAACACACAATACCATTAATCACAAAATGTGTGGATAAACAGAACTTCACAAGTTAAAATTCACACAGAACTTCGTAAGTTGCCCAATTAAGTATGCAAACACGCTTTAAAAAAATCTAAGTTTTCAAGATTTCAAGAAATGGAAAGAGAGAAGAAAAGCAAACCCAGAACATCTTGTAAGCTGTAATTGCATAGAATAGAAAAAGGAATTGTCTGAACACTGTACACATTAAAATGATTAGACATACTATCACCTGAAGTTATCATGAGATGTAAACAGAAATAAGTTTTATCTTTCAGTACTTGGTACACATCAATTTCCTCTACACAACCCATTACAGGATAGGTTTGGTAGCTTACTCCTTTCATCAAGTGGTAATGTATTTCTAATTTGCACTTGAAAAAGGATGAAAACAATGATTTAAGATCAGCTGGTTCTTGCATTTGAGAACTACGACATGCTCACATCCAAGGAGATCTGTTAGAATTTGGAAAAAAAAAAGAGAGGAATATACAACAGAATCAAATAAAAACTGAAATTCTGAAGACAAGCATGAGGTGTATCTCTATTTTCTCCTCTGCACATTTAGAACATAAAAGCTATCAAGACTGCCTCTCTCTCAGCATTCCAGCCATGCAATGACATAGCTCCACTCCCATTATCCATTTCTTTGTTTAGATTTGCCTAGAGTAAGTTAGCAAATCTACAGCTTCCCTCTACAAATTCACATCTCATGCCATATGTTAACAACTCTTCGGGGTTTTGGCAGAGGAAGGAGAGGTGGAGGGGACACAAAGACTACAATTTAGCAGGAGACATTAGGTAGGGACCACAGCAGGACTTCCATCCTGACGGAAGAAACGAACCCATATGCAGCCGAAATTTCACTGAATTACAAATGGGACATACTGTTCCAGCCTAAGAACAAGGAAAGACCCTATATTATTCTGCTACAAAAAAGAAGCTAATATTCTTCTACAAAATAGCTTAGAGAAAAGCATGAGATTCCAAAGCTAAAATCTGCCAAAGTTTGGAAGCTTAGAGAGCCTAAAGGCTCATCGCTAGGTTGTCTCTCTGGCTTATGCTTTCAGACAAGAACATTTAGTGACTAATGGCATACTCAAGTCCTAGTACTAGACTCTTTATCCTGTCCTTATTGTCAAATAATCATAAAGGTTCCTGTCTTCCTTTTCAGAAAGATAACACAGAGACACTCACTCTCCTGGAATATAAAATGAGTAAACAAGAGAAAAGATGAAAGGGGGAAGAAGGGGGGGTAGAACAGCCCATGTAGATGATTTCCTGAAGCTTTTCAGAGAGTCTGCTATAATGTCTGCTATACATCAGGAGCCTGTGTTACTACAGGAATTACTTGTTTCTGCTGCTGTGCCTTTTTTAATGCTTCAAGCCTCCTCTGCTTGAGGAGCTCCAATTCGTCTTCATCCATTTGGTCAAGTTTCTGCATTTCGGCATCTAGGCGTTCCTCCACTATCTTGGTGGTTTGAAGTATTTCATTCTCCAGGACTTTTTGAAGTATTTCAACAGAGGTATCAGCAGCCATCTTTACTCTTCAGAGCTGAAAAAAAAAACGATATAATGAAAGATATAAGGTAACGTAAGGAATTACAATTTAAATGGACACTTTACATTAAAAGCCTCCCCCCTCTTACTTGCAATTCAAACTGCAGAGAAACAAAATGCCCCTCTCTTTAAAGACGGCCTGTCATTTTCTGTATTGTTCACCTCTTGGGGGAATGAACACAGAGAGCAACAAAGATTCCAGTCATGTCCTGTCTCTTAGTCCCACAGCCAGCTGCTGAAAGGACACAGGAACCTCAAACGTCTTGTTGGAAAAAAAATAAATTGAAATTAATCAATTGCACAGGGACTCTCAGCCTGAGACAAGCCCATGTGTTAATTAAGAATATTCTGAAGCTAGATGACGTGATTAAAAAGCTCCAGTTTGCTTGGACAAGACAGAAGATGCATCAGAATAAATTTTAAAAAAGCTCAGCATGTGCATTTCCAACAGCAGTTTAAATTCAAATTATTTTAAGTATCTGATATGTATTAATATATTAAATCTGAACTAACACTTTTCTTCCCCTAGCCACAGCAGAGATAAGGAGTGCAATAGCCACTGCTCTAGGCCAACATGCTGCTTCAGCTAGTACAAGAAAGCTGCTATTGTGGGTACTATCCATAGCAGTCAGGAAAAGATTAAAAAAAAAAAAAAAAAAACCTCCAACAACCACTACCTACACAGCTAAAAATTGTTTTCTGTGAAGATTTTTCCTTCTCATAAAACATTTCAAAAGAGACAAATCCTCAATTCTGGACAGCAAGAGGAGCTGTGGGGACACATCTGTTTGCTTTCTCCAGCACACTTCTACCTTGCCCTACAAGCAACTAGCACTGGAACAAGTGGCAGTTGCGAAAAGAAAAACACGGGAACTCTGATGAGATCCTCAGCCTGGAGGCCATGGGTTTGCTGTGACAATGCTGGGTTCCAGAGCACTCTTGGTGAGGTTCTAGATCGGTCAAACTAGCAGCGCCATTGGCTTTGTAAACACCTTACACATAGACTCAAGAACACGCTTTAAGTGGTGACGGGCAAAACACCAACAACGTGGCAGCGCTCCAAGTTTAATGCGACATCAGCAATACCAGATTACTGCCACACTGGAGATGTGCCAGATTCTGGCTGGTTCTGACCTTAAGTACCTGGTCCTCACTGCCTTTCCCAACAGCTACTATGTGCTCTCTCTTCTAGTCTTTCCATTCCCTCTGTCTTATCCCACGCACGGATGTGGAAAACTTACTGGCACAGGTCAGAGGGCACTAGATCTTCAAGAAAGGGAGTACACTCTGGTGAACTGGGGTAAGAGGTGCCTTGCCCCCCATGCAAGCTAGAAACAAAAGGAACTATTAACCCCATGCTGCACCATCACTACAGCCCAACACGTCCAAGTGCAGGTGCTGCCTCTCCAAACCGCACAACCCTGAGTGACAGAGGGTGTTTCCTGAGCAGCCAGGGCCCCTTGCCCCCAACACTCCCAGCTCGCCCAGCGCCCCACGCCCCATGAGGCAGCCTGAGGCCCTCGCTCCCCTCAAAGAGAACGGGCGCATTTGCCTG